CTTGCCCAGCAGGCCGAGGCAAAGAGGAAGTCACATAAGCAGCAAAACCAGGGAGCCGGACAGGGGACAGACTGGGTTTGTCTTCAGTGTGGAAGGGACTGTCACTCTCGAATTGGCCTTCTCAGCCACACTAGGCGCTGTTCCAAGCCCTCCATACAGAGCACGCTACCATAGTCTTTCGAGACTGAAGGATGCCTAACTAAAAATAGGTACCATCTCGGTGGGAAGGTAAACAGCGTTCTGTGTCTAAATTACACTGGCCATGTGACCACGGAAAGATTGTCTTCGGACAAACGCTGGCTCTATGGCTTGAAGAGCGGGATGAGCGCCGCCCCCTAGAGTCGGACACGACTAGACAAAAATTGTCAAGGGGAACCTTTACCTTTACCTTTACCTAGAGCCTAGCAACAGAGTCTTGCTTGACAACTGGAGAAACGTGAGTGCAGGAAATGCAAAAGTAAAATCCAAAAGCAATCCAGAGACAAGCCAGATCAGTCATAACAGAAAATAAACAGGGAGAGTTCAAGAACTGTACTCAAGGAGTCCAAAAGTCATGCAGAGAGGAGTAAAATCAGCAGGAAGGGTCAGAATATAGAGCAGACAAGTCGTAAAGCTTAAAGAAAAACCGTCCCAAAAAAACTCCCAGTCTCTGCCTAAAAGGTAACATATATCTGAGTTGCTAGAATCTTACTCAAAACTCAGCTGCATTCATTTGGTGTAGTTGGGAGAGTAACAGAGATGGAGGATTTGACCTGCTCATCTCCTTGACAGAGATCAGCATTCCTGGGGAGGTTTCTTCTCCCCAGGAGTATTTCCTTGCAGCTGAACAACATCATATGGGGATATCTAGCCTCCAGCTACTTTGATCCTGTAGTATACCTGTGGGCTCAAAGGGAGAGCAGCCTCCCTCCCTGCCTTCCTTTGAGAAATCAGTCTCCTAGACCCTCAAGGGGCCAGTTCTGAGGATCCAGCAGTTCTTATCTGTGAGCAACTCCAGCACACACTCAACCATCATGATGCAGGAAGTGTTTGCAGAAACAAGCTCCTTTATTTGAGCAACACAACTCAGAATGAGCCAACATGGCTCAACAACAAAACTTAAATACTTTATAGGACTCCAGGGAGTTGATTGCACTCCCATACAGTCCAAGTCAACAGAATGAGTCCACAACAGTCCTTTACTGGGAGGAGCAGAGCCCTGCCTCCTCTACCAGTTCCAGAATCCTTCATAGGTGAGCAAGGCGCAATGTGCCCCAATAAGGATGCTGCATGCAGGCACTCAGGTGTCCCTCGCGTAGTGTTGCCTGAGCACCTTCCCCAGCTTCACCTCTATAGTCCCTACTAGCTGCAGCTGTCCCTTAGGTGCAGTATTCTTTCTTGGAGGCATGGCCAAAATCCATGTGCACCTGGCTGGGCTCACCAAAGTAACAGGGAGCAGAGTGGGGGGTGGTGGAATTGGAGGAGGGCCAGTCCACTGGCATCAGCTGTGCTGATCAGGAGGTCCTTGAGGCAGGGTGGCTTGCCCCTGCTGCTTCCTCCATCAACGTCACTGGTTTTTAGGCCTCCTCACCTTATCTTGGCAGACCCAGGCAGCTTCCTCCAGCAGCACAAAGCACTCTTCCCACTGTCCTATGCTTGGATCCCCACATCAGATGGTCTACCAGCTGACTGTGGGATGATCTGGCAATGGCAACATCTCCTGGGCCTTGAACAAATCCCAGTTGATGGTGTTCACCCAGCAATCTTCTTTGCCTTCTCTGCTCTACTTCTGAAATCCCCAGTCCTCCATGGCTACAGGTGTGGCCTCCAAGGCATCATCCATGTCTGTGCCACCAACACCCCAGTCCCCAGGTCAACTGAGGGTCAGGAATCTCATCCTGACTCTCAGGGTGGTGGAAACCCCCCTCTTACCAATAGGGTGATTCGGGTCAGTCTCTATACTACAATGTGCCATGGGAAGGGGAGGGTCCAGGGGAGTGAGGAAGAAGCCCTCTCCTTGGAGATCTTCCAGCTTCCAGGCAACCGTGGTCTGCACCATTAACACCTGGTCCCCTTCATTCAGCAGGACATACATGAAAATACACTAGGTTTTTTTTTGGTAATCGAGATCATTATGTCTGGTTCTTAATCAGTCAATAGTTTCAGCTGTTGTTTTTTCCAATGAGAACACATGTCTTTGTCAGGGCTCAAGAGAGTTGTGGCCTAACTGAGATTATTGTTGGTGGGTGGATTCCATCACGGTTACTAAGCTTAAAAGTATGGTGAGTGGGAGAGACCAGCAACTCCTGGGCACTTCGCAGTGCATCCCTTTAGTCTATTGAACGGCTGTACTTTGTGTACATGCTGGCAACTTGACTACTGTTTGTTTCAAGGTCCCTTTGTTTAAGTAAATACATAGCTTAGGCTAATTAGCTTTGTTATTTTGCCCATTGTATTTTCTGTATTTGTAACTGGCATGGCTGGATCTTTTTCTTGGCTCAGAAATGGCAAAAGAACTTTCTAATAGCGAGCATGGAATGAGGTGTCTTACTATCAGAGATGGCATCTCTTGTCCACTCTATCCAGAGAAGCTGGCTTGAGAGACCATGCAATGTTGGGTCACTTTCATCCAGTATAGGGCAACTGGCTAGTTTAAAGGGCCCAGGACAGGTTTTTCTGCCATATGGCCATGGCCAGGGGGAATAACTGGGGCATCTTGGAGGAAGAGGAAAGCAGCTGCCACCCCTGCCTTCTAGCACGTATCACCTGAGGTAATAATTTTACTGTTCTTTGCGGTCAGGTAAGCCTGGTCCCAAAATCACTGAATAGATTTTGAGCATGGATCCACCACAAGACAGGTGCAAATCCTGTAATAGCAGGAATACTTTCCATTTTAGAGCTTGCAATTAGTACATATCCTATTAAAATGTTGCCTCACAAGAGAAGCTGGAGTCACCAGACTGGTTTTTCCAGACTGTGCATCACATTGGAAAACGTGATGTTTGCATATGAAACCAGCTTTCTGTAATTAATACAGTGTCAGTATTGGGGCAAGGCAAGAGTTTGGTGAGAACAACTTGAGCAGGAAAAGTACATAGCATGGGTAAGATTGTGACAAGGTGCTGATATTTTGTAAAGTATTTATTTAATTATAGCATTGTGTTTTTTAAAACCACTTTTCTCTCTGTGTCTGTAAAGTGTTTCTCTGATCTTATTAGTTATGCTCTGGTGAGGTTTCTTCCAGTCCGCTTAAAGCAATTATCTGGGTGCTTTGAAAGAATGCTTTTATCGTGCAATTGTCCTGCTTTGTTTGTGGAATTTCATTGAGTGGGTCAAATACTGTGTTGCAGCCTCCCTTATTTTCCCATCCTTTCCTGTGTGTCTGTGAGAACATCACAGAAAATCTGTTAAAGAAAGAATGAAAGAAAAGCTGCATGGTCTTTTGATTCACATCGGTGGGAGCTATACGTCCAGGAAGCATCCTTTATTTCTCTTCTTGCACAGAACCAGCAACCGTTAGCTGAAAAATTCTGCAGGGCAACCTGATCCAAGGATGACCATCACTCTGTGCCTTGACTCCTCTTACCAAAATAAACTGTTCTGTGCCAGAGCTTCAGGGGATGGAAGTGTACCATGCAGGCACCATGTTTCCCCGAAAATAAGACAGGGTCTTATATTAATTTTTGCTCCAAAAATGCATTAGGGCTTATTTTCAGGGGATGTTTTATTTTCCAGTTATGTCATATTCTAGCTGCTGCACAATGGTGGAGGGAGGGGTTGATCTTAACTGGGGCTTATTTTGGGGGTAGGGCTAATATTATGAGCATCCTGAAAAATCGTACTAGGGCTTATTTTCAGGGAAACAGGGTGGCAGATACCATGCAAGTAGGAGCTCCTGAGTGGTCACTGTCACCTGGCAGCCCCACTGCACTTGTGCAGGAGCAGTCCCATGAAACAGCTGCAGTGCAGGCTATGGAGTCAAGGTGGGCTTGTGCTGAAATGATGGTGCAGCACAGAAAGTGGTTTGGAAAACTCATGGTTCTCAGATATTAGCTCCTATGGATATTTGTCCTGGTCAAATTACCATTCCTTCAGCTGCAGGCAAAAGCTGTGTGATGCACATATGGCATGGATATGCTGCCAAAAAAAGGTGTGCTTATTGTTGAAGTCTTTTCCTCTTCCAGTGTAGGAACACTTAGTTTGTGATACAAGAAGACATATTCATGGAGAACAGGTTTGCCTGTGGGTTTTAATCATAGTGGGAATCAGAGCCTGGAAATGTTGCTTTTTTTTCTTCCTTTTTTTTTTTTCCTAGGTGGGAATTGTGAGGTTTTCTGTCAGCATCTGATCTGACCTTTTGGGAAACAAGTTGCTGGGCTAGATAGTCCATTGTTCCAATCCACTGTAGCCCTTTCCCTGTCTCCATCCCATGTCATATGATTGGTTGTTATTAGCATAGTTGAGAAAATTTACAATATAATCGTTGCATGTTGTAAGGTAAAAGGGTCCCTGGATTTCCAGGAAGAACTTGACATGGGTAGCCATTGGAAGGGATGATGATATATACCTTTTTGGTGGAATAGAGGGGCTAAATTTAATAATAGATATTAACAGCGGTTGTTGTTGTTGTTGTTATGTTAAAACAACAATAATGATGTATCAATTCAATCGCTAAGTTAGATTCTCTTAACAATTGTGTCTTCCTTTCATGCATTACTGCTAAGTGCCTCTCCTTTCCTTTGACTCTTCATAGGCAGTGAAATCAGACGAAAAGCTAAATATGGTGCCATTGAATCACCAGAACCAAATCATCATGAGGAGGACAGAGATCAAACCTACCTGGATGAAAAGATTGCCATTCCAGATGTTGCGGGAGTAAGTCTTCAACTAGGAAGTTAATACATGGCTCCTTTCCCTAGAGCAGGACTCTTGAGCAGGCCTTGGGATGAATAGGGAAATCCATTGTGGATCTCTAGACTAGGCCAGTTAGATAAGGTCCCTTTAACAGCTACGCAGTATGAAAGCACCTGTTGTGAGAATCTCAATATAAAAAGGGAAAAAACTGGTTTTGCTTGTAAGGTTAAGAAGAAGGGAGCTTGCTGCTGGAGGCCAAGTTCTAGGGTTTAATTTGCGGCATGTTGAGAGAGGACTGAGGAAAACCCTTGGCTGAAAAGCTCTGAAGAGCTGCTGCAGACCTGAGTAACCCATCTTCTCCAAGCTGGGGTTCTTCAGATGTTTTGGACTATACCTTACAACATTCCTGACCATTGGTCCTGCTAGATGGGGTTAAAAGAATTGATCCAAAACATCTGCAGGGCCACAGGCCAAAGAACTCCTCTAGAACAGCAGGGCCATGGTCTGACTCTGTAAACAATGGCTTTTTATATATTCGCGAAGGTTTTCATGGCTGGGATCTAATGGTTGTTGTGGGTTTTTCAGGCTCTTTGGCCATGTTCTGAACAACCTTCAGAACACGGCCAAAGAGCCCGAAAAACCCACAACAACCAATGGCTTTTTATGTTGAAATAAAGTACTGTAGTGTCATAGTTAGAGACCTGGACTGGGACTTGGGAGAATGTAATAATCACAGAGCCATTATATTTAGATTTTATATTTTATATTTAGTGGATGACTTTGGGCAATCACTTTCTCTGTGTGACCTACCTAACAGGGATGTTGTGAGGACAAAGTCAGGAGGAGAAAAACCCTGGAGCAATGGCAAAATATGAACATGTTATAAATAATAAAATAACATAAATTGAAATGAAAATACAGCTATATCTGCTCCAGTTATATCATCATCACAGAACTGCAGACCTGAGAGGGACACAATGGATCATCCAGTGCAACCCCTGTCAGGGAGGCACAGCGGGGAATTGACCTAATTTTGTTACTTGAATTTTTCATTCTATGTTACATAGACCTCTGTGAACAGTATAATCTTATTCTCTGGAGTCCCACATCATTCCTTATGGAAAGTTTCATGATTGATTGATTGATTTCCCACCTTTCCACAGCAAAGTTTCACTCAAGAATCTTGCAGTCTTTATAAAGGAAAATAAAATAAAATAAAATGTAGCCATAAAAATCATTTAAATCAGATACATACACAGTTAAATGTGCAACAGAACAGACCAAACTGCTTGTGTAACAGTGGACACTGGGCATCTGTTTCCCTAATGAAAGGAGGAGGCAGTAGCACAGATGAGGCTTAAAGTTTCTTTCAACCGGTAAAAACACATGCACCGGGCATATATATAGAATGCCAGGGAGGAAATGAGGAAGCGCACTCGCTCGTGGTGCAGTCATAAAGTGTTTTATACTTTCTCTTTATGCAAAGAATATATCTTATGTGTACTAATTAGCAAGCAGTATTCAAACAACAACCTGATTAGGATAGGAACTTATACCATATAGTCTTTTCAGGCCCACAGACAAAGAAACAGCTGCATTGCAACTATATATGTACTTGCTGTAGCTAAGCAGATGTATCTGGGGAAATTCCATGAAGCGACGGTCCAGCCAGTCTAAACAGGTGCAACCCTAGTGTATCAGGCCGGTATCAGGCACAGTAACAGAAGCATTTGGGGTGTTTTTAAAAAGCTCTTTTCCAGCATTTCCAGCAAAACCCCATAAGCAAGTTTGAACAGACATGTATCTATACCCTTCTAAGAAGCTGGCGTAATGGAAACCAACCACAATACTGAAGGGCGTGTGTTCCATTTGGGGGCCACCCAGTAGAAAGGAACTTCCCCGGTGGCTGTTATGCCATCTGCGCACCTGCTAGAGTTCTTAAGAAGGACATTCCCGGGGTTCTTAACCTGGGGAGAGATTGATCCTTTCTGCCTGCCTGCAACCAGGCTGCTCGCTTTCCATTGAGTGAGAACAAGATAAAGTGCTGCTGGAAAGGAAAGAGTGGTACCAATAGGGTGTTATATTATTGCTCAAGGACTCTAAAGGAGAGGGGACAAGAGGTTATGCCCTGGAGTGACACTTCCTTTCCCGCTGTGACAAAGTGACTGTGCAAGAAGTATCTAGAGCCCACCGGAATGCAGTACTGGCATGTACTTTCTGTGGAGTACTGTACAAAGGAAGTCAGAACAACAGTGATTTTATGAGCTAAGTGTGGCATTTTCTCTCACCAGTACGGTTTCAGTTTTAGGAAGCTCTGGGCTTTCACTGGTCCTGGCTTCCTCATGAGCATTGCCTACCTGGACCCAGGAAACATTGAGTCAGACCTACAGTGTGGAGCAATCGCTGGCTTTCAGGTGAGTACATAAGGGAGAGCAGGTTACGACTGTAAAGCAGGCTTGCACAACATACAAATGGCCCGTAGGTGAACGTCCATCCCCTCTCTGTCTGCCGGGGTCCAGAAGCAATTGCGAACACCACTGCTAACACAGGGCCAACACAAGACACTTTACTACCAGAGGCAAAGGACAAGATGGTGCCTCCTTCCTTCTGCAAACAGCAACTGACTGGGCTGGAGGGATGAGCCTTGTTTCAGCATGGATTATGTTAGAAGATCCTCCAGTATGTGCCCTGTCTGATTAGTGAAAATGGGCCAGATCAGGGGTATTTGGGCAATCCTCAGATGGAGCAAGTAGCCACTGACTGCCCATATGGTGGAGGACCCTCGCCCATGGATCCTTCATATTCAACACTGGCACTGTGCCTCAAAACCCTGCTCATGGCCTGCATGCAATTCCAGCTGATTCTGGCAGCCAGCTCAAGGTTAAATCAGCCTTTCATCCTGAAGTCAGTACCCAGCGGGGGGTGAGGGAATGTGTAGCCTGTATAATTGAATTGTAGAACACCCAGAGAGAGCTTTAATTGTTATGGGATGGTATAGACTCAATACACTTTAATTTTAAAAAGACATATGGCAATTCGAAAGGAGAAAGGGGGAGCAGAAAGTAATATCTAGGAGGACTCAGCTGGCACCAAAAGTAAAGGAGAATGATAGCTGAACCCTCCCCTATAAACCTCAAGACCTCTCCAGAACACTCCAACCACTGAGTCACCAAGTCTCCTTGCAGTGCTGGGGCCAGCTATTTTGCACAACTGCAGAGTGAACTGCATGATAAATTGCTAATTAGGACTTGCATTCTAGAACCTTCCTTCCCACCCACCCCCACTTTCTTATCCAACTTAGTTTGCTTTCCTTTATGCTACTCAGATTGAGCGTGTGTATGTTACTGTGCATAAAGGCCTGCATTCTTTTTGCATGGCCTTTTAGTGGCCAGATCAGAATTAGTACTCCAGAGTCTGTCTTTCTCTCCTGCTCCCTGTTTTTCTTCTTCTTTTCACTTGTTGATGTGACAGCGCAAATGCCACTGTCTGCTTTGTGCTATTGTTAAAAAGGTTCCTGTGTGCAGAAGTAAAATCCTCCTACATGTCTCCCATTTAACATTTAAGGCCTACCACTTCCCTGAAACAGATGGCACAGTGTAGGTGTACAGCCATCACCACCCAAATCACAGCCATTTGCATTTGGAAATGGGGCCTTTCCAAAAGACTTAAAAATGTGCAATTCTCACCATGGACAAGAATTGGGTCAGGGTACTACCAAGAGGGCAGAAGGTGGTATCAGTCTGCGCACCCTTTTCCGGGCATCAACCAGGTTGGAGGGGAGGGCGGTGAACATTCCTGTCACAGAGCAAGCAGCTGAGTCACATGCAGCCCTGTCTGCTTTTTGCTCTTCAGCCTGTACTGCCTGAGGTGAGTGGTTCACTCTGCCTCATGTGAGGGCTTGCCCTCATTGTTTACAGCCTTGCTTTGTAAGGACATTAAAGAATCACCAGAGCCCATAACAAATCAGGGTGAAGGTGGGAGATTCCCCTCATTGCTGCTGTCCACGTTGCTCTTTCCTCTCCTTTTAGTTCGGAGAAGTTTGGCCCCATTCTTTCTATCCAGCCTGTGCAGATGGCTAGCCATGCTGTGTAGTCCCTCCTCCCTGTGACTCCCTCAATTTATGTCAAGGCTAAAGCTGTGGAGATGTTTTTGGTTTGCTGCCACATTGTTACAGAAAGACAACATGGTCATGTGTCCTTGTTCCCCACACAGCTGCTCTGGGTCCTGCTCTGGGCCACAGTCCTGGGTCTGCTCTGCCAAAGACTGGCCATCCGGCTTGGAGTAGTTACAGGCAAGGACTTGGGAGAAATATGTCATTACTATTACCCCAAGGTAAGTACAATGAAGGTGGGAACTGTATGATTAGGCAGTCAATAACCAACTCTGGCTAATGCTTTTTTATGACTGGGGGAAACTCTCAGACATTGAAGGGCTGAGTTCCAGGAGTGAATCAGAACTAAAGTTGGCCTTTGAATCAACTGAATTTATGAGAAGCTGACTCACCAAATCCCCACTGAATTAATGAGCCTACTCGAGTTGCAATTTACTATTGGATTTCAGTCAACATCTTCTTATAGATATAAGTAAATGTCTTCTGCACCAGGTCAGCTGTGGCCCTGAAATATTTTACTGCACCCAATCTCCCATGCAAAGACCAACTAAGCTGGCAATCAACATTTTCAGTGAGATATCATCTTCAGTCTAGCACATCTGAGGCGGCAGGCTCATCTTGCTGGGCCAGGACAGGTTGTGGAATATACACAGCTCTGTCTATTAACAGAAGAGAGCTGGGAAATTCGGGAGAAGCCTCCAGGAAGCTGCCTCTGGTGCCTGAGATGATTGTCTCACAGTACCTCATGATATGCTGTGACTCACATTCATTTGGTCAGAGGATGACTGAATGCAAGATTCATTGTGAGGAAAACCTCCCTGTGGGTGGTTTTTGTGAATTCAGTATCTACATTGGACTCAGCAACAGTTAGAATTTGGAATCGGGTACTCAGATGTTCCCTATCCCAGTTTACCTCAGCTGCTACTATTCAACAGCATGCAAGTTGCATCATAACTGAATGCAACATTTCCTAGCAGGATGCTTTCGAAGTGTTTCCCTCACTCATACTGATGGGGGTGGATGGAAGCTGAAGGGCACTAGTCTGGGAAAGGCTATTTTAAGTATGATTGAGAAATGGGTCTCAGGATGGTGGTTCTGTTTCCAAGTTTGCAAAGAACCTCTGGGTAAAGGCTGTCCATGCAGTTTTTTCTCTGAATGGACCCATCTCCCTCCCTGACTGATGCCATGGATTATTGGTCTGCTTTTCTCCTTCAAAGAAAGAGATGCAGCTAATGCTTCTGCATGCTTCTCTTGGGTCTCCTGAAAAAGACTTCCGGAACAAAAAGGTAGCAGAAAGATAGTTTATTGCAAAAATGAGACTATATGTGGTTGCTATTTTTTATGTTATGTTTTGTTAATTGATATTTTGGATTTATGTTACTATAATTGTATATACTGTATGTTGCTGTTAGCCGCTCAGAGTGGTATAGATTTATCAGATGGGCGGGATATAAATCAAATCAAATCAAATCAAATCAAATCAAATCAAATCAAATCAAATCAATCAATCAATCAATCAATCAATCAATCAATCAATCAATCAATTGCTATTTTTTTTCCTAATCTGGCTCTGAGATTGAAACTCTTATTGTTATTGAAACAGCAGTCTGAGTTGTTTTATATTTAAAACAGCCTTCCTTAAAAGAACACAACTAATCCATATTTCATCTGGTAAAGCAGATAAATAATTTGGATCCAACACCACAAGCAGAATTTGGCAGACACTATCTCAGCTGCAGAATCCATCAGCAGAGCTAGTAGTTTACATGTTCAGTCTGGTGGTGAGATATTGAGTCACTGTTTGTTTGTCACTGTTAATTTGTCACTGTTAATTGCTGAATTGTTATTATTACAGGGGAGGGAATGTGCATGGAGAGGTTTCCTTTCTCTGTATCTGATATTGGCTTAAGTCCAGAGGCTCAGACATGAGCTAGCATGGGGAAAGGTGAATCAGAGCAGCCACTATCGCTGTATTTGATCTGGTTCTTACAAAATGGCCTCTGTTCCATTGACTGCAGGTCCCACGTGTGCTGCTCTGGATCATGATAGAAATTGCCATCATTGGCTCCGACATGCAGGAAGTGATTGGGACAGCGATTGCCTTCAATCTTCTGTCAGCTGGACAGTAAGATGCCCAATTTTTTCTTAGCTACATGTGACAGGGATTAAAAGAACAGGCAGGTCTCACAGACATTGTTGACTAATGAAACCCACATTGCACTGGCGCGAACAACCAAATCCACTTAAATTCTTCTAATAGAATGATCTTTGTACAGATTGGGGTCACAATGGTTAATACCATTTTTGCCACTTTTCTTTTTGATGAGGCAGCGGCGGAGGACCGCCTATAATTTCTAGGTCCTTTGTAGTGAACAGCCTCCTTGCAGTCTGATCTGGATAAGAAATGAATACAGCTGAGGAGTGCTTCGTACATATATCTTCCTTGACTTCACTGTGTTCTGTGCTACTACCAGTGAGGGAAAGTGCACTACCAACTCCTGTCTTTGAATCCTGGCATGTTCAAATGGGGCCAACAACGACTACCGTCAGAGACCCCAGAGATCCACCGACAATCCATGTGGGCAGCATTGAATTAGACGGACTGGTGGACTGGCTCAGAGGAAGTTGGCTTCCACTCCTCCACTACATTAAAGGCACCATAGCAACCCTGATGGTTTTCTCCAGTCCTGGAGGTCCCTTTTTCATCTTCTGACAGGACTTCATCTTTTTAATCGTAATGCACTGATTACATTTCTGCCTGTCATACAATTATCAACAGTTACAGAAGCTCTCAGAGGAGGAGAGGAGGAGGGTTGGTTTGTTAAGATAGTAACTTCTATGACTTTTGTTTGCAGTATCCCATTGTGGGGTGGAGTCTTGATCACAATTGTGGACACTTTTTTCTTCCTCTTCTTAGACAAATACGGTATGTATGCAGTAAGGAGTTAGCCAGCTGTACAGAGGGGCTGCTTTTGCTCTGAAGCAGGGTTCACATCACACTCCGATTCTAGAAAGTTACCTCCTCCTGTCTAGCCTTTGGGTGGCTTATGGATGGATGCAACTAATTTTAGACAAGGAGGCATGTAAAAGTCGTGGTGGTAAAAGGTGGCAATTTCTTAGGGACAAGAGTGCACCGTGGTGTAGTGAAGCCAGGGTGTGCAACATCAGAGCTTCTGGACTTTCTGAGTAGAGAGATTACGAGGACATCTCCCTCCCCACAAGCTTTCCTGTTCCCTCTGAGCACAGCTGTAAACCCCACAGTAGCTGGGAGAGAGGTGGATTCTCCAATGAACAGTATATTGTTGGAAGCTGTCCCTCTTGTAATGCAAAGTATTTGTGGTTGCTTTGATTTTGAATGGGTAATCTGGAACCATCATCTTTACAAAAGACCTACTTCTCATTTGTTGATGTGGACTGATCCGTTGCCTATTATTTTGGACTCTCCTTATAGAGCGTGGGGAGATGGTGATGATGAGAATCTATAGTTTTAAATTTACCACTTCCACCACTGGTGGTGTCCACGTGCTTTCCACATTAAGAAATATCCGAGCTAAATGTTGATAATATTTGAAGCAGCCTTGAATCCTAGTGTCTCCTTGCAGTTGAGTTTCTTTCTCTTTGGTCCTTCCCTCATAGGTCTCAGGAAGCTGGAGGCTTTCTTTGGTCTCCTCATTACTATCATGGCAGTGACATTTGGCTATGAGGTAAATCCACACATGAACTTGTCAAACATTGTACCTTTCCCCATCCTATCTTGAATCTGATCCTTTGGGAGTAAGCAATGGATCATGAGAAGAATGGATCATGAGGAGAAGAAGTTAACTCAAGGATGCTATAATTCACAGGATGCTGCTTCCAGCATCCTGTGTTAATGGAAGCTCATGAGCACAACAAGCGTCTAATATGCAGAAGTATTTTCTGGTACTGCTTCTGAATAAGAGTTTCCCTTTTGCTATCAGGGCTGATAGCAAATGACATACCACGACTGCATGGATTTATCCAGTCTTTAAAAAAATCCATCTATGCTGTCACCACATCTGATAACACTGACATCTATAAGTTAATTGTTCACCCAAATGAAAAGTGGCGAAGCTGTTTGTATACAGCTCCATCTCTCGTAGTATCAGACCCTGAATTTACCCACTGAAGTTGAGTGACAGGACAAACAGGGCAAATAAAAGGGAGTACTCATTCACTGAGGACATAGCTGAAGTGTGGCAGTTGCTTCCACAGGAAGTAGTGATGGCCACCAATTTGAATGGTTTTGAAAGGGGTTTATGTAAATGCCTGTAAATGGAACTGTCATGATGGCTGTCTATTCCCATCCAGTCTTAGGTGTGCGTAAGGAAAGAGTGAACAGGAAAGCGTTGTTGCAATCATGTCCTGCTCATGACACAGGCCTGTGATTGGTCACTCTGGAAACTGAATGCTGGACCAGTGAGCCTTCGGTTTGCTGTGTGTTCTCCTATGCCAGCCCCTTCCATGGTGGTGGCTCCTTCCTCTTTCTTCAGATGTTGCCATTTCAAAGACACACACATTACAGTGATGGGGCGGGGAACTCTAAGTAGATTGCTAAGGGAATCTCAACTTTCTCTGCATTGAGTTACCTTTCATCCTTCTTCCCTCTGCAGTATGTGGTAGTACGTCCTGACCAGAAACAGGTGCTGAAGGGGATGTTTCTCCCCTATTGTAAGGGCTGTGGAAATGAGGAACTTCTTCAGGCAGTGGGTATTGTCGGAGCCATCATCATGCCCCATAACATCTATTTGCACTCCTCCCTCGTCAAGGTCAGTATGACTCAGATCCACTCCCCCCTTTTCCCAGACAGTGGGTAAGACAGCACCATCTGTGATGTCAGATCTGTCTTCAGATTAATTCATAGGGGGAGTGACTGACATCTCTATTAGTTACAGACAGCACAAGGCAATATACACAGTTCTTCCCTCCTTTGTGTCTTCACAGCAGCCTTGTAAGGCAGGTCAGGTGGAAAGTCACCCACTGAATTTCAGTTGGGAGAGGGGATGGAGGCTGGCATCCCAAGTCTCTGTCCAAAACAAGTGACTACATCACACTGGCTCTCCTAGATTGTACAGCTTAGATGCGGAAGAGGACAACATAGAAGGAAAAGAGAAAGAAGGAGTAAATCATTCCTAATTATCAGGCTGAAATAGTCAAAAGGACGTAGGTCTGGTAATACTGTACAGCCCTAGGACCAATTGATGTGGAATTTATTAGTGTCATGGTCAGACTCACTTTTTCCAGTGGCAAAGGTTTTGCAACTCTGGCTTACCAAGCATCAACCACTGGCATATTTCTCACCCACAGTCCCCAGTATGTCTTCCATTCAAGTTCCACAACAGTTTCAGCAGTTTCCAAGCAGTCAGAGCCTGGTTAGAGTAGCACAAGAGGCACATGACATTATGTCCCAACATTCATAACTAAATAGCAAATATATATATATATATAAAAGGAAAAATGAAACAGGAAACCCAAATGTCAAAATATTGTGTCACTTTCTTGTTTTTTTTCCTCTTAGTGTTTTTTTTTTTTTTAGAAAACTTGTTGAATTTCTTCTCTCCCATTTTTGCTTTGTAATTTTCCAAACATGTTGAAATAGACTAGCATGGCTACCTCTTTGGAAACAACTAAATACGGGTGGAATTTTGTGGAGCTCTGAATTTGATTGCTGTGGCAATACAGCAAAATGGATCTTTAAAAGTTTCTCGGTGGATCATTTGACTGCTCAAAATCCCCTCTGCTCCACAAGTTGTTTTTTCCCTACAGAGAAAAATGTATGTGAACCCAGTGTTTTATTTTATTTTCCTTTGTGAGTAATTGAAATGCTCCCTTTTAAAACTGGCTGTAATGTTCACAATGGCTTAAGTTGGTTAAGAAAACAGCATGCTAATATAAGAATTCATTGTGTGAACATGAAACTCAACGAGGTTTTTAACTCATGTTTTTTGGCTGTGTGACCAGGCCCTTAGATTGGTATATTTAAAAACACCAGTCTCCCATATAATTTGACCTTTGAAGTGGAGATAAAAGAGCTTGAAAATGGTGCTTTTTGAATGCAATACATAAACTGTACCACAAGTGCTTCTGGAGAATGAACACAAGCTTACAAATGCAGGGGCAGTGAAAAGTGTGCCCAAAATTGCATGTATTGGGGAAGAATGCATAAAAACTGTATGTAGAAGGAAAGGGACATAACCCAAATATGCATCAACTCCCACTGGAAAAAGGGAAAAAATCTTGTACTTGGTATGGAATTCCAAAATGATGAGAATGCTCATGCAATTCTGAGAAATGCAACAAAAATTGCCCTGACAGATTTTCGCTTCAGTAGTGATTTCACTTTGAAAGGAAGGTTCCCCATCTCTCCTTAGGAACTTAACTTCCAACCTCAGTTTCCACAAAAGTAACTTCAGACAAAGCTCCCCATGTGGCCTCAATGACAGCCTCCACTGTAATATTCTACAGCTCGGGCAACTTTGGGAGGGTAGGGAGTTCTGTTGTTAATGCACAGAGTGATGAAACATCATGTCTTTCCCCACAGACTCGAGAGGTTGATCGCACCAACAAGAAAGCAGTGAAAGAGGCCAACATGTACTTCCTGGTTGAGTCCACCATTGCACTCTTTGTCTCCTTCCTCATCAACCTCTTTGTCATGGCGGTGTTTGGACAAGCCTTTTATCATAAAAAGAACATGGATGTGGTGAGTGCTGACCGATTTCCCCACAGTCTTCTCACATGAGACCTATTGGGTCATAAGAACCAGTGGTTCCTCCTTTAGCACATCATGTGCTGGTCTTTTTCCTTTCACCTATTCCCCCTTCCTTTCCAGGGAAGGAAGGGACCATGACTTGGAAGAAAGAAAGGACCAATCCCCTGTAGTCAAGCTGGGGTTGGTCAACTCCTTTGCTCATCCTCACCCATCACACAGTCTTATCTTTCATTTCAGGCAGCAGAAGGCCTCAGGGCTGCCCCACAACAAAGGTGAAATGCCTTCTTCTGCATAATTATTAAAAGTCAAAGAGCCTTTGTGAAGGTGAGGGAAGACTCCCACATGAGCCTAGAATGGCCTGGTGTCCTGGCTAGCCTCATTAATGGGTGTCTGTGGGTGAAACATGGTGAAATGTAGGCCATGTATAAAGGAGGCAAGTGTCTTTTTAAAACATTAACTCTTCGTAGCGTATTGTTTAAATACACTCCCTCTTTTGAACATTTAATTTTGTAACTCTAGCTGTGGACCAGCTGATATTTTACTAACTGTGTGGACAGGTAAGAGAGCTAAGATTCACCATATGTGAGTCTCTTGCCCTCTGCTCTTGAGTTGGCCTCTTTCTAGACAATTTTGGGTGATTGGGGACAGAGTTCAGCTGTATGAGGGGCATCTAGATGCACCCTGAGACATCACACCCAAACCTGTCTTTCTGAGGGGCAACAAGAAGGTTACATGGGAACATTTTTCACCCCAAGGTTTGAGTCAGTGAAAGTTCCCCTCAGTCATTTTTCAGTAGTTCTGGTATATATTATGTTGTTTATCTGCTTATGTCTTCCAGTATGAAGTCTGTGCCAACCAAAGCGCTTTCTCCAACCAAACTGTTTTTCCTTACAACAATGAGACAGTTTCTGTGGACATTTACCAAGGGGTAGGTTTCGAACAAAATCATGTCCACTCCCCTTGCTTCACTGCTGTTTGTGCAAAATATGTTGAGCTATATCGGATTCCCATGTGAGCTTTGTGTTTCTCCTGTTTGGGCTGTAGAATTATCTTATGTTGTTAGAGGAGATGATGTATTAACTAAAGGCTGGCTGTAGGACCTTTGTAGGCCATGCCTTCCTTGTTAGTCTAACCAATCTCTTTTCAAACAAAGGAAATTTCTCTTGCATTTCTACAGTATTGTGGAATCTGTGTATCTCATTGCTTGACCATTTTGTAAAGTTATTTAGTTTTAACCAGAGGGAAAACTAGATGAAATAGCAGGTTTCCATGGGTAGACAGAGCTTATGATAGAACCTTTCTTTCTACCTCTAAATGCCTGGTTGACCTTCTCCTCATTGGTCTTCTAGTTTTCTACAAGACATTAGGTTAATTTAAGTTCCTCTCTGACCCACTTGTGCTGTGAATTCTATTTTCATTGGCTCTGTTTTTTTTTGTCGTCTGCCTTGTTGTATCACTATTTGTTTATATTTTTTCCTAATTGTGACTATGAGATCCTTTGAGGGCCCTGTGAGGGTGGGGGTCAAAGATTGTAATATACATAAATAGTTGCACAGATATTTTTCTTATTTTCTTGCAAGACTACAAAAGTCCAAGGAGGAATAAGTTACCTAAGCCAATGGTGAGCAGTCTGTGTGAGCAGCATCAGCACTTAACTACCTATAACCATGTGTTCCTGTCCCTTCCTGTTCAGGGAATCATCCTGGGGTGCTACTTTGGGCCCATTGCACTATACATTTGGGCTATTGGAATCCTTGCAGCAGGCCAGAGTTCAACCATGACAGGAACATATGCAGGGCAGTTTGTTATGGAGGTAAGATTTTGATGTTAAGATCTATTCAGATCAGGATAGGGAACTCAGAGCCTTCCAGATGTTTGGGGATACTGTCCCCATAATTAAGAACAACTTTGGTTGGCTTGATAGGAGGTGTGGATCAAAACATCTGGAGAATCCCAGAATGCCTGCCCCTGGCCTTGACTTACATAAACCTGAGTGTGAAGCTGCCTATAGTATGATTTTTGGTGTGTCTTAGCCTGCGTTTTGAGAACCAGTGTGGTGTGGTGGATAGAGTATTGTGCTAGGATGTAGGAGACTTAGGTTTTAATCCTCACTTGTGAAAACTCACTGGGGGTTGTAGTAATGTCAAACCATTCCTTAAATATCTCACTTACCTTGAAAGCCCTATTCTAATTTGATATCAAACAACAGCTTGCGCTTGCAATTATTTAGCTGAGTCCTTACATGTCAGGTAGAGAAAACAGGGTCTTTCCATGACAGGACATCAGTTGTTCAGATTACAGAAGCATGCATGATAAAATACAAACAAAGCCAGTATCTCATGAGGTGATACAAGCGCGGACACCTTGCTTGGGCAAGTTAGGGCCAAAATAGCAAGAACAAAAATGCCTTGGGACTCCATCTCTTGACATTTTACTCATGTAACATCAAATCTGCCATAGCCCCCGTGGGATTTGGGAATTGGGGCCAGGATGGGTGGGATTTAAGTCTTTCCTCCAACCCAGGCCAATTCTTTAGTTTAAATAACAAACAAATGAAACCAGAAAGTCTTATGGTTATGTTTCCCAGCGTACAGATCTGGAAAAGGCACTTCTTTGGAATACAGTGGACAGAATCCCCTGCCTGCCATAGCCAAGGAAGAGGTGTAGCCTCTGAAGGATCTTGGGAGTTGTAATCCAAATAAATAAGTTTTCAGACCTCTCAGTCTCTTCCTCACTGAACATTTCCTTTCCCCTCTCCTTATCGTAAAATCCTCTGTGTCTCTTTGTGTAACCAACATTTCTAATGTCATCATATTAACTTTGTACTACATTTTGGTTAAATGCTGTCACAGTCATATGTCATGTAAAGTAAGTGATCCATACTAGTACAGTAAATGTCTTTTTCAATGTTTATGTGAAAAGAGGAACCTCGTGTATAAGAATGGATCAAAAGTTCCTCTACTAATTTCAGTCCCCGTTTACTGCAACCCACAGTCCCGTTTCCCATGGGCGTCTCCTCCCAAAGTGTTGCACAGCTGCGCAGTCCTTTAAGTTCAAGCTATTCTTAGCATGTTAGTTTCAATTAAGGGTACTGACTGTGCTGCTCAGAGCAGCTGGTCAGGAGAAAAAGCCTAGAAGATATTTAGCCATAGACTTTGCTAGGTTGGGAGAACCCTCAGCAGCTACTCAAGTCTGATGCTAACCTAGATCCTGGGACTTACGTTGACCCTTACGTTCTATGTATGTAGCCCCAAATAATGCTCACTTTTCTATAATGGGGGGGGGAGGTACCTGGACTCAAAATCTGACATTATTTCTGTTGAATTTCAGTGACTGAAATCCTCTTGTTTAGCTACATAAAAGGCATAACTTTTGGAGGTGAATTGCCTCATGTTAAGAAATCCCCATGGACATTATCTGTTGTATGCCGAGTTGTGTGACTCAGTGTGCCACAGATAACATCTGTGGACCATTCTGAACTTTCTGGAGTTACACTATTCGTAATACTTCAGCATAATGAAGCAAGAGGATTTGGGCCAATGTGTCATTATTATCAACCCAGTGTTCCAGCTTGTCTAAAACCTTTTGAATCTTGATCCTTTATTCCATGGGTGTGGCTATCCATTCCAGCTTTGTGCCATCTCCAGATTTCAGTAGCAAACCCCCCCCCCAGCCCTCTTAGCCAGGTCATTTATAATGGTGTTAACAGGCAGGTTGTGGTACTCACACTGCAGGCCTCCCTCCAGGAGGATGCTGAGACATCAAGGGGCTCTCTTTGAAAATCATTGCTCAACCGGCAGTGGACCCACAGTTCCCAAAGTGGCCGCCTTCACCGCCCTACAGCCACATTATGTGTGTTCTGCTTGCCTTTGTATACATGCAACATTAGGTGACATGATTTTTTTGGATTGGACAACGTGCTTTGGCAGATAAATTCTGAGCATTGCCAATTGCTCAGAGGCCCCAGTTGACACTGACAAGCCATCTTTTAAAAACTCTTCAGGTGTCCATGGGGAACGGGAGGTCTTCTTCCAGATGTTGCTAGGCGGCATCTTCCAACCTCTGTTACCACCGGCTGTGCTAGCCAGGGCCAACAGGAGCTGCAGTCCAGGAACATGTAGAGAGTCACAAGGTGTAGCAGGATTTATGTAGAAACTGTTAATTTGTTAGCCTGCAAGAGAACGTAAATCCAGCCAAGCAAAGCTGGAGGCCTTTTTTTGCCTTTTTAAAAAAACCACCAACCTGGTAAATCCCTTTGCTCTTTGGGTTGTATAATTCGAGGCATTCAAATTATTGTAATGCTGCCATCTGGTGGCTAACGGCCCTAACTACAAGTCCATGGTGAAGATCACCCTGCCCAGGCACCCATCCGTCTAATCCAGTGCTCCACATCTACAGAGTTAAACGATCTGGAATCAGCCAAGAAAACTGAGTGTGAACTTCCTCAGTGATCCTTTAAAAGCATATTAGCAGCCCATAAGCAGGACATTGTTCCCTAGCAACAGAATTGAGTGGCACGCTCCCTTTGTACATGAGAAGTCTGTATAATCCTAATCACATCAAATGCTATGAACATCTTTTGTGGGTAAAACCTTTATAAATGGCCTTCTTCTTAGAATCATTCTTATTCCTGTTCAGACTGGTGGTTTTGTCTCCCATTCAACACTTACAAGTCTTCCATTCTCTTTACCAATGATTCCATGGGGTCCAGGACAGCCTTCTCCAACCCAGTACACTTCAAATGTATTGGATCCCAACCTGTTTACCCACAGACAAGATTCCTGGTAGATAATGGTCCTCATGGTCCTGTGACTTACCATGAAACATCTTGTGGACATATCCTGGGTGACCACTTCTATAGGGTGTAAGAATCCTTCACCCTATATGTATGTGGAATGCTTTTGCTCAAATGGAAGGGATCTTCCCAACTAGGGAGGGAGAAGGTGGGTGGACTGTATGCTGTTGATCAGCATCAGCATTCACATCAACATTTTTAGCCAACTGGTCTTCAACTCGTGGCTCAAGACCCAGCTCTGCAGCCCGCCCTGGTTTTGCACCTCCAAATGTGGTGTACTTCCAGTCTAGTATATATCACCCCCCAGCCATGGGAGTGGTAATCCAACACATCTGGAGAATAGCAGGTTGGGGGAAAGTTGCATTACTGAATGGCAGCCTTATACAAAATAGGTTGTAGTGAGAACTGCATCTCCCCCGAAGAGTGAAAATGCAGAAGCAACTAATGTGAAAAGTAAGTTTGCACTTACATTTCATGGAAAGGTTGGTGGCTGTTATTCTTACATACCTCCCTTTGGCCCTGTGATCATGAACCAGCTGTGTCCAGAATGATTCTCTGATTATTAGGAGGCAAAGGGGTCTTAATGGCACTTTAAAGGATAATAAGTTTATCGTGGCCCCCTATGTGGTTATAAGCTTCTTCCTTGGGATCTCATTTTGATTCCCAAATGATGAGCTTTCTTGCTCTTCCAAGGCAGTCCCTCTGCTCGTCCTACAAGTAACTCTTCTCCTCTTTGTTTCTTTATACATTGGCATGTATCACTTGGCAACAGTCTCTTTAAAGTCACTGATGGGCTGTCCCCCTCATTCCCCTTCCTTCTATGGTCCCTTAATGCAACATGAGGGTGAAAGGGTGACAAGATGAATATAAAAAGGGAGAGTGGGTGCTTTGGTAAATATGGCAGCTCTTGTTTGGAGGCATGACTTCGGTAAAGTGGCCATCTGATTTCTTCTCTTCCTTCCTCAGGGCTTCTTGAAGCTCCGCTGGTCCCGCTTTGCCCGGGTGGTCTTCACTCGTTGCTTTGCTATCCTCCCGACTGTCTTCATTGCAGCTTTCAAGAATGTGCAAGCTCTGACAGGCCTTAATGACATCCTCAATGTGCTGCAGAGTATCCTGGTGAGGCTCCTTCCTTCAGACGCACTCCTCAATATGTGCAAGGTGCCCCTCCACCTAGGAAAAAATGACTTGCTTGAGCAGGACCTGCCCAGGACATAAAGCAAAGGAGCAAACCATGTCCCCTTGCTCAGATAAAGATGCCTTGTAACCAGTGCCCGCAAATCATGTTGGCACAGAAGCCAGCCTCTTTCAAGCATTTATTCCTGTCTCTAGCAATAAGAACAAAATAATAGCCGTTTACATAGCTAGCCATATTATTCTATCACAGCAAAATAACAGTTACGTGGCACCTTTTACATTAAGAGATTTATTGTGGAGCAAGTTTGTTTATAATTTATTGGGCCACCAAAATACGAAGAGAGGAGGGAAGTGAGCTTCCGTGTCCAGAACTCTTCATCAGGCTGCCCCTACCTTTCTCCTCCTCCTCCTCCTCCTCCTCCTCCTTTTTCCTTTAAACCTACTGATGGTCCAATAAAAATATTGTCCAACTCTGCTTGGGGCTGCTGAATGATGGCTGAGATAACACTATTGAAGTAGCCCACTTTTGGATAAAAACACTCTAATTATCTTAACATTTGAATTTGTTATAATTTTACCTATATATGTACATAATTTTAAATTGCACAACCCTTTGATACTGCTGTAAGTTGGAAAATAGTAGGTATTCTCTAATTGTCAACACTTTCAGAGTTTGGTGTTTCCTCCAATGAAAATATTTCAGAAGCTTCTTAGGCAGACAGAAAAAAGGGGATAGCAAGGGAACATTGTTCATTGAAAAAATGTACTCAACACAGGTTTTTTTTGGTATTTCTAGCTGCCTTTTGCTGTCATACCTGTTCTCACCTTCACCAGCATGCGGCCTCTTATGGAAGACTTTGTCAATGGAATGTAAGTAGTTCCAGCTGCAATGGATGAAGACTCCTTGGGGAATGTATTTGGGGAGCAGTTGTTTCCACATTAAGGGATGGTTAGGAAGTTTAACCTCTCATTGGGACATCTGAGTAGAAACATTTTTAGTACATTTAAAACAACCCATCAGATCTTGGAACTAATTTCTTAAACCTGTTGCACAGCAGTTACACAAACAGTGTAACTTAGAGACAAATTGTCATAACTTGAGAATTCTCCATATATGTTATCAGGTATGCAAGCGACAATGTCTACAGAGATTACTTAATACAATCCACATCCAAATGTTACACCTTTGGTGCAATTGGATTTTACCCCTTCGTTTGCCACTCATAATTATAATTTTATAACAATTTTTAATCATTTGAATGTCACCAATGTTAATAATTTCAAAAATTATTAATATTTCATGTTATTTTATTTCACTGCTTTTGGGTATAATTGGTGAGGTTTGACCATTTTTAATCATTTTAACTGATTAAATCTTTAGTTTAAAAGTGACATGCCACTAACTTACTTCTTAGCACAATTAAATTATAATTTCCAGTGAAGCAAACTTACCATTAACAAATTACTCTTTGAATTAACATGAATTGACCTGTTTTTTCCAACACTGAGATTTACAATTATCATAATGTTACTGAAATCATCCTAATCCTTCTTTTCCATCAGAGCTCAATGGCATTTGCTTTGCTTTCCCTTCCCTGTAAACAATTTCCTCTTTGATTTTTCCTACAATTAGAGATATGCAGGAAATATCTTAATTCTACCAAAATGAAGTACTTGGTCTCTTCTCAAAGGCAAGGCATTATTTACTCTGATGTCAATGTTTACAGAGAAGGAATATCTAGGATTTTACTTCCTTGCCTTTCTTGAAGGGCAAGGATGGAGGTGAAGATGGCCCAGAATTTACACATACAGGGAAGATTGCTTTCAAGGAGGAGGAGGAAGAGGAGAGAGCTCTGTAATCAATGGAATCCCTTCTTCCTGTTTGTTGGGACCCTTCCTTAAAAGTCTTGTGGGGCTCTAGTATATTCTTGACTCAATTTTTCAGCTATTTATGTGCCAATGAGGGCTGTTTCTCATTAGGGCTAGAATCCTGTCTATGTACATTCCATGGGACAAGGCTGATGATGTCATCAGCCAGGACCTTTGTTTTTATTGTGTTCAGACATATGTAGTGATGAGCCAGGATTCCTCTCTTCTAGTTCAGTACATCTTGCCATGACAGCTGTTTTAACACAGACATCCCTGTCTTCTCCTTAGCATTGGGAAAATTGTAATGATCCTGATCACCGGACTGGTCTGTGCAATCAACCTCTACTTCGTGGTGACAACAATAATGGACCTGAACCATATTGTGTACTACATTGTCATATCGTTCGTGCTAGCTGCTTATGTGGCTTTCATCTTCTACTTGGTAGGAAGATTACAGATCAAAGGGCCCCTTCTGTAGTACTGGGCTAAAGGCTACCCACAGTTAGGACTGACAATGCCCTCTCTCCCCCTGCCGCCTCATTTTTGGTCTGATCGTTCCATTGATTTCTTCTTGATACTTTGTTTTTCTTTTTTTAAAAACTAAGCAAAACCCAAACAATGGACTAGGATTTCCAGAAGGGATAATAGCAGTTTTCCAAGACTAGCCCTGTGATCACAGTGCAGTTTTTCCACAAAAATTACCATTTATTTCCCTGTAGATTATCTCCTACTCCCCCTTTCTTTGACTATAAGCAAAGGTAGACCTGTAGAAGAACAGGGCTGTTGTGTATAAAGTTGGGCAGTGTATCAGGACTTATCATCATTCCAGAATCCTCCACCACTTTCATGGAGGCACAGGTGAAACTCACCCAGTTAGCACCCTTAAGAGGGTTTGGAATATAACTCCAATCACCCCCAGGCTGGCTTGAGGGTGGAATCCAACTCATCTGGATGGTGCTATGACAGTCTAGGCAAGGAACGTATGAGGAACATAGTATTAATTTATGGAAATTTCTTTTACATGATAGGGTAGCCCAGCTGTCCAGTAGTTACCGCTGTGAAATGACCATTTAAAAGAGTTGTGTGATAGTTATCAAAGAATTTGAGGGAAGAGGTGAGGGAGGGACCAAGGAGGGTGGGAGGAGAATGATTAAAGCATAGGGTTCTTTTGGAAGGAGATCTTGGAAGAAACAGGAGGCTGTTTCACACTCCACTCCCTCATTTGTTCTTGGGTCTTGTCTTCCTTTGTCTCCATTCCAGATCTGGACTTGCCTTATCTCACACGGAGTTGCTTACCTGGCCCGTGGGCGCCACACTCGTTTTGGCTATGGACTCCAATGATAGCACATCCACCACTTATCAGTCAGAGACTGATGAATCACGATCCTCCTCCCCATTAGGACAAGAAGCAGATGTCTCCCCAGATGTGCTGAGAAGCAGAGGTGCAAGGAACAACGTTCTGACCGAAGTAGTTTAGTAGCTGTTGCTCAGTGGCGGAACACATGCTAAGTGTGCAGAAGGTTCCAAGGCCAATTTCTAAGTTCCTTCAAAGAACTGTCAGGTTCTGAAGAGCTGGCTGGGGACACTTGCCATAGATGGTTCTGGACCTGCAAGCCTATTTTTCTGATCCAATAGGAAGTGGCTGATTATCTGTTGCAGCAAACTGTCAGAAAGGAAGAGTGATGAAGCAGCTGTTCCAAATGATCAGAGATTGGTAGCCACTCCGACAATCTCTGACTTGGGGCCATGTATAAATGTATAAATATTTGTCATGTAGTCCCATTCTTAGGTCTGAGGAAGTGGACTTGTTCTGAGGAAGTTGACTATTCACCTTTGTGAATTACATCATTACACCAGCATAAAAATTCAATTGGATCTTGGCCTGTCGACTTGACCCTGAGTAGCAGGGGAGCTGCAGACCTTAGCAAGTGGAGCTTTCACTTTGGTGATTTTGAGTGAGCAGCCCACACAAAAGTCAATCTGGTTTATTTCTGGCCATATGGCAGTGCTTTTTTGCCTGCTGAAGATGACTGTCACTTAACAGAAAGTGTATCCAAAGTGCTTCCTCACACGCATTAAGCAGGGAACAGCTCCCTCTCCTTCCCTCTCCAGTTTATCTCTGGAAACGGATGTTGATCTTGTTCTGAGTTTAGCTAACTGCCATGCTGGTTCACTGTTTAACTGATCAGTTAAGGAACAGAAATACATTATAACTGTCAAACTGAATGTTTGGGGTTATGTAGATAACAATAGTCATGTGCTGTCAAGTCAATTCTCACTTATGGGTGACCCTTTTCAGGCTTTTTCAGGTGGAGAATACTCAGAAGTCGTTTATCCTTTCCCAATTCTAGGGGCATTTTGGGGCTGTCCAGTTTGCCCAAGGCCACACAGGCTGGTTCTACTCACAGGAGGCACAGTAAGGAATCGATCTCCCAACCTAGGGCTCTGCAGGTAGATACCTCAACCAGGAGCTCTCCAGCCAGCTGTGGGGTTATGTGGTGGAAAAACAATGTATTCAACAAAAGAAGACAGAGAGTTATTGTTGTTCACAGGAAATGATAATCAAATGCTTTCCTAAGACCAAAAGATATGCATTGAGTGTTGTGGGCTGATGCGGCTACCAAAAAACCCAAAAGCATTCAGAGGGAAGAGATTTTATGGAAAAATAACATTTCTAGTACACGTTCAAAAAACAGAAATTTCTTATATTCAAATTACCTCACCATATTGTATTAATCCTTGCAATAATAAAGTGGAGACTTCTTTTAGAAAAATCAAAATGTCACAATTCAGCCTTTCCCCTCCTGGTGTTCCAGATGTTTTAGGCCAGCAGTTCCCTGCCTTGGGTCCCCAAATGTTTTGGACTACAACTCCCAGAAATCTACAGAGCATCTACAGAGTCTCCGCTTCCCTATCTGCATGCCTTCCTTGGCCCTGAGTTCATCTATGCCACTTGGCTGCTTTACTAGCCTTTTCTGGATAGCATAATGATAATTCTTAACTATGACCCAGCACTGACTTCCGAAATCCCTTGCGTCCCTCACCCCAGTGAAGTCTAAATGAATTAGCAACCCCTGGAGATGCTCCCATACCAATTAATGTCTGAAACAAAGTCCCTACTGAGGGACTAAAAGCTTTTGACTCAGAGCACTAAACCTCCTACACCTGCTGTACCCGGGCATGGGATTAAGGCTGCTCCTGTTCTCCCAGTGGTTTTGGATCTTTCTCAGATGAAGGACAGATAGTGATGGGGGAACTTCACTCTTGAATTTCTGCTGATTATGTATTGAATGCACAGAGCATCCTTTGGGTTAATGAGTGCCAATACTAACCAGGACTTCAGGGAAGACTACAGACACATCCAGACCCATACGGATCATCTTCTGCACCGATTCCAATATCTCCCCATTCTGGTCACTATTTTTGTTTTAGTTCGTATGACCCCAATCCCTCTGAGATCTCTCTTCTCACTGACAGTTAAGAGATAAGCCCAGGCTTTCTGAATCCAGCAATGTCACAGAAAGATTAAAGATCATGTTCCAGTGACAGTCAAAAGGGGGCAAGTCTCTCTATTGTTCTGTGCCAATAGGTTTTCCATATGGACACACACTCAGGAACTGGTATTCCTTACTGTGCCTCCAGGGAAAAGAGCCAGCCTGTGTGGCCTTGGGTAAGTTCATCACTCCCAGGGCACCCCCAGAAGAAGGGAGTGGCAAACTACTTCTAAATATTCTCTACCTAGAAAATCCTGGAAAAGGTCACTGTCAGTCAGAATTGACTTGACGGCACTATACTTAGGCACAGTCAATCAAAATTATAAAGAGATTGACTGGCATTATGTAACAAATACAAGTTTTAACCCAAAACCTAAGTACTGTATTGGTTAAATATTAATGTAGCATACTGTATACACTCTTCCTATTGCCTATATACCACCAGCAGAGCTGGTGGTATAATTTCTGAGATCTGCAACTGCTTATATAGTACCGTGTGAAATTTCTTGATATTGTTCCCAAAGCCCCAATGACTATGGGGACCACTGAAGTGTGTTTTTTCCAGAGGTGAGATGTTTTGATTGCCAGGTCTCTTTGTTAGTTTTTCCAATTCTTTATCTTCAGCTCTGGCATCTCCTGGAATTGCAGTGTCAATGATCTGGACATTTCTTTGTTCTATTACTACTATGTCTGGTGTGTTATGCTCATGGTGTCTATTCGTTTGGATCCAGAACCCCCACAAGATCTTGACTTCCTCATTTTCTGACACCTTCTCTACCTGATGTTCCCCTGGGTTTCTACTGTTATTGTTTTGTTTTTTAAAAGGCATTCCAATCCTTCATGCAAATTATCTCAGCAAAGTCTTCTAAAAGCCCTTTAAAGTCACAAGGTGTCACTCCTGATATTTCAGATGAGAGGCAGTGGCATGTCCAAAGGGACAATTAGGTGGGGCTGGCAAAAGGTCTGTCGTTTCAATCTACCCACGTTTCTTAAAAGACCAAATGCAGCCATAGGTGGCACCTTTTAGTCTGACATGACTTTGGCATGGCCTGTGTGTGTCTTAATCTCCTCTCTCCCATGCCATTATGTTGATCCGAATCTGTAAGGATATGATTTACCCTGTGGGATTTTTTTAAAATGCAGGTACTTCCGTGCTCATCAAAAGCAAAAGCAGACATAGTTCATTGAATCGGATGTGATTTACCCTATGGGTTTTTTTTAAATGCAGGTACTTCCGTGTTCATCAAAAGCAAAAGCAGACATAGTTCATGGTAAAAATAATTTCCCCTTTCCACACAAAGTTCCCCTAAATGTGAGGTTCTCAAGTTTGAATGGGAAATCTGTGAGCTACGGCCCTCCAGAGGTTGCTGGACTCTACCTCTGGGTCAGGAATGATGGGCGTTTAAATCCAACTGAAGGCTTAAGGTTGCCCACACTTACCTTAAGGGGCACCAGATGAGCACTCAGGATTTTGCCGCCTTCCTCCCACCTTTACCACAGTCACTTACTATTATTTTTAAGTTTGCTTTTGCTTATTTGCCCATTCAGATGGCCATGTATGTGTGTCAGGGCCAGAGGATTTGAAAAGCGGAATGGCAGTTAAGACAAGTCTCTCACACTAGATTAGGGAACTGAACTGGAGGACCAACCCAGAGCATTATAGGGCAACATCCCAGATAGGTCCCTGGAAAAAGTTCTTTTTCTGCTGCACTGCTTGGAGGTGTGGCAGCCTTTACATTGGACATGTATCTATCAATGTTGAGATCTTACCTCAACTTGTTTGAACTCAGTGGGGGGGTGGCAGATGACTCTCCTGTGTTCTCACGACAACCCTGCAAAGTAGCTCAAACTGAGAGACAGCAAAAGTCACGCAATACTCACTAGGGACTAGAATCCAGACATTCCAACTCCCTCCTCAACACAACGGCCAGTTCACCACACTGGCTTTAATGTGTATTCACTGAAACAAGGGAATATTCTCTGCCCATTGATGATTAAAGGACATTTAAATGCAGGGGATTTGGCTAATGAAAGACTCCCTTAACATCAGAGACACCATTGAGAAGGTTGTGTTATATACAGTATACTACGTTTTAAATGCTAAGGGTTTTTCAGCAGGAATAGCTGTAAAACATGAAGAGAGGAAAACTGTGGTTTAGAGTTCACCATGGGACCTGTGGTTGAGAGAGCCAAATCAAAAATACACCAGGAAATATAAATGTCCAACATATATGTTTCCAAATTCAAGGACAGGGATTGAAAGTTGTACAGCTGGAACAACACAGCTATTCAATTTTCACAGCACATTCTCATCCCAGAATTTGAGAGTTCTCCAGCTCAGTACACTTATTACAAAATTATCCTCCAGCCCTCCAGTTACTGGAAACTTCTACAGATGATCCAATGCAAGGATGAGGAACATGTGGCCCTCCTGATATTGTCTGAGTGGGACTCCCATCATCCCTCACTCCTGGCTTGGGCTGATCATGAGTAGCATTCTAGCAATATCTGCAAGGCTGATGCCATTTGCCATCTCCAATCTAACCCATTCAGACTTTTGAAAAGCATTCACTATCGATACAGCATGATTTCTCTGGCTGAAAGAGATGAGTATCATACACATCGATACAGCACGATTTCTCTGGCTGAAAGAGATGAGTATCAATAAAGGTAGCAAGAAGTGAATAAAATAAATCTTAAGCATGCTCTTGCAAGGCTGAGAGCCCTTCCTTCTGAAGATAACTTTGCACAAAAAAAGCCCCACTAATTCAAACAAAATCGGAAGGTACCAATAATTCTGCAGCTCAGTAGAGATTTTTATCCATGGATATGCATGGTAATTTCTTGTTATATCAATACTCAGAAACTATTTACCCTGAATGTATGGATTGCCTCTATTGAAAAAAGCATATCCAGTGTACTGCAGTGGCTAGAGTGATGGACAAAGAATTAGGAGACCTTGATTTGATTCCCTGCTCTGCCATGGGATGGGGATGGAGGTGGTAAAACTACTCCTTAAATATCCCACTTACCTTGAAAGCCTTATCACAGTTGCTCTATGTCTGTTCCAACATGACACCACAGAAGAAGGGGGAAAGAGTGTACTGACTTGTAGTTATTCCTTCTGTGGGGTTTGATCTATGAGCACTCATACAGACACAAAGACTACCACAATGGAGCCATCTTCAAGGGATAAATTGGCATCTGCTAATCCTTTTGGGGGTAAACTTTATGGGGTGAATGGAGAGATTGGTTCATGTGATCCAAGCAGTGAATCCATTTCATTGGGAACCCTAACATTTTAACACAATGGGATTGAACAGGATATGTTCATAGCTTTTGATTTCTTCAAACTCTCATCATTAATGTGGACCACATGGATTCAGAGACAGAGATGGAAACCAAAGCATCCATTTCAGTGATGGATGGAATTTATGTCCCATCGTTCCCCTCCAGGGCTGGGGGACCTGTGATTCTCCAGATGTCATTAGACTTCGATTCCCACGAAAACCAGGCAACCCGGCTAAGAGTGAGGGCTGTCAGGAGGAGTAAAGACACAGTGTCTAGAATGTCTCATGTTCCTCACCTTTCATTTAGGGCAAATGGGCACAGAAGGAGTTTGTT